TTTTTTTTCGAAATAGTTGTTTTTTTGGGGCAAGCTATCACTTGGTAAAGTGGAACCACACTTTCCTGGGAAAAATCCTGGCTACGGCCCTGTCATACACTCTTCTATTGTTAAGTAATTAACAATTTCCAGCAGATGTTGATTTATTGAACAGAATTTTGAATTTTTTCTATCAGCTTTGAAATGATTATAAATATTGAATAAAATACTGAAATTGAATAAATTCAAATGTAAACCCAGATCATATGCGTCCAAAATACTTAATACAAAACACTTCTATACGCACTTCTATAGGTTGTCCATAAAGATAACTTGAAAACTCTCACAAATATTTTCTGGAAAAAATATTTTCTTTCTGCCAATTTATCAGTTTTTAATGGACATTTTTGAATGTCTTCAATCTTATATATCTCTTTCCTGTGCAGTCCAAATTCATCGTGGACACTTCTCACTCAAAAAATGCATAGTACTGAATAAATTCGTACACATTTTTATGTTCGTCAAAGGTTTAATTTTGGACAGCCATGGACAGCCATGGACCATTGTCGAATTTGGTAAAAAATAGAATACTTTTCGATGGATTTATCAAATTCAAACACATATTCATTTATAAATAATGATTTTTTCATTATTTTTGTCTATGCATTTTGTAGATAAGTTTTTCATACTAGTTGTCATAAGTGTAATCAATTATTGAAAAGCTTTTCCTAGAAACTCAAATATGCCGATTTGGATTATTTCGAACAAACATATGTCTGAAAATTCTTGGACAAGGAATTAAATTAGTGTATTTTGGGCGCCATACATCATTTAATATTGCTTGAATGTATCGATTGAATGTACCTATCAACACATTCAAACGAGAAACGTGAAATGTCTCCAACAAGTATTATAAGTACTTCGTAGTGTAGATCATAAATGCAATTGTAAGTATTTATAGAACTGGGCTTAAGTTTAGAGATGGATTGTAAATGTGAATGTGAACCCGAAAAAGATTTAATTTAAACATTTGCGTTACATCTTGGCTTATGCACATCAATGCTTTCCCCATTTCAATAGATACAATGTTAGCTCACGCAGCGTTTTATGACGTTTACGTTTAATGCGTTAAATGTCCGTAATAAAAGTACAGATAATCCTTAGCACTAGCAATCTGTGCCATTTTTCATCAGGCGTCTCCACTCGCATTGAGTTTGTATTGTGAATGTTAAGGTGCGTACAACGCCCTTCAATGTAAAAAACAATACAAGTGTAGATGATACACGGGATTTATCTGTACTTTTCCAAGTACAAAAAATGAAGGTTAGAATCAAATTTCATCTGTCAAAGATTTGTTTCATAAATTGCATCATTATAGAATGGTGAAACCATGGTAGCTTAGTATAATTTTATGTGTTTTTGTCGTATATTCAGTCTTTTTCTAGCCAAAAATGAAACGTCCATTTATTGATGATGACAGAAATTCACGCAAAAAGTTTCGTGAATTCAAAAATAATGAAAATGTTGAAAAAAAACGTAAACGCAATACTGTTGAAGAGTGCCGGCTAGAGAATGGATCATGGAAAAAAAATCAAATTTGATACAATTAGTGTAAAGAAACGTCCATTAGATGAAGATAACGAAAATCCACCAAAAAAGTTTTGTAAAAATTCCGTTAACGGCTCCCTAATTAATAATCCTGTCCAAAATCATAATTTGTGTAATAAATATTCGATAAGTATCACCGATGATAAATATCGGAAAAAAATGAACCACAAAAAAAAAAATTCAAATTTGAAAATGTTTGTGGAATAAAAAAAAAAGTAAATGTATTTATGTACCAAAACAAAAATTGATGTATGTGCAAAATGTGAAAAATAAAGCTGGACAAAAAACGTATATTTGTTATAATTATAAGAAACAAAAGTGTTCATCACGAATGGTTGAAATATCCGAAAACATTTGCCAACCAACAATAAATTCAAAACCTCACACTTGCATTGGAAATCATGAACAATTTTTATTGAATTGTAAACTTTTGCGTGATATAAAGAACAGAGTTCTAAAAATCAATAAGTTAGGTGGTACAGAATCCTTCAAAATAAGCACACAAGCTATCATCGACCAAGAAAAATCCAAGTAATTATGTCAATTATAAACAGATACATTTTGGATGTCCAAACTAGATAAATCGTTTTATTTTTCGTGAAACACTCTCTCAAATTCGTCTTAAAATATCTTTTTACATTTGCTACACTTTCGGACCAAATATTTCGGTCCAGTTAAATATATATAATATATTGATGGTCCGATCTGGGGCCTGTTTTTCGAAAACAAATGAACTTTTCATCAGTGAAAAGTTCATTCGAGTATGTTTAAAAAACTGCAATGTAATTGCAATGTGAATTTGTTCAAATTTTGTGATGAATTGTTCTCTTTGAACAATTCACATGAATCTTTTCGAAGAATATGTGAACTTTTCATTATTATTTGAATCGATTATACTCTTACGTCAATATTCGCGAACACTTTTCATAGTTTTAAATTCAAAATATTTCTTGAATGTTAATTACGACTGTCGTAAAAATATTATAAATAACAATTCACGTTTGAGAAAAAAAAATATAAATAACAAACAAAAAAAAAAAAATACGAATGATATTTTAATTACTTTGAATTAATGCTTTGAAATTACAATCTAACTTCATATTTGTCATACAAATTAGCTTATGGTCATGATGACAAAATAAACACTTTGATGACATAAAATGAAAATATTGCTGACTTTTCGCTTACTATTTTCTATTGTTGCGACCAATCACCAACGACAGGACCGAAGTGATCAAAATTATCATAATCCATTCTTAATTTAATTTTGAATTAACAAGAAGAGGTGTTATGAATTTCGACTATTCGTTTTTAATTTATTTTTCGTTGTTCATTGTCGTTTTTGGTGTTATTACACTTACAAAAACCATAATGGAAATTGTTGAACAAAAATTTCATATTGGTGAGTGCGTATACGCGAAAATGAAGTTCTACGTGCCTTGGCCGGCATTAATTCTAGCAATTCGGGGACGCATGGCACGCGTAAAATTTTTTGGCTGGAAAAACCAATGGCAAGTATTTGTTTCGTTTGAAAAAAAATTCTAAAAAAATTCTCGATTGGTTAAAATTGTATGATCAATTTTAATTTTTTGTTAAATAATTTCAAAGTGAAATTCTAAAAAAATTGCGATATTCTAGGTCGTGGATCGGTTTCGGAAAATTATTTCCCATTTCAGCATCAAAGGCTATTGTGGAAAAGCATTATAAGAGCAATGTGAAGTTCGCTCGAGCTGAAGACGAAATGCGTATTTCATTGAAAAATGCCATACGTAGTAGACCGCCTATTCATCCAATCGGAAGAGAGAGTCGCGCAATCGAAGCATAACCAACCGCCAGACAAGAGCGTTCCATTACTGAAAGACGTGGACGCACGATCCAAGACGAACCATCGGCTAATTTCCCAGTAGTCCGTATGACACGACTTACACAGCAACAAATCACAAAAGCGCTAGTTGGTGATTTTTCGGACTGGACCAATACCGTGCCTATCAAACAACGCAACACCACCAAATACAATTTACGAAAGAGAAAGTAGAGTTAGAAAATAACGATTTTTTTTGCTCAATTGATAAACCCAATCCAAAAAAAATCCGATTCAAATAATGTACACACCGTAACCAAATTAATAACTGAGTCAAAGTACACATTACTTTATCACTACTAGTGAGTTCATAATATATCGACAAAACTAATTTACTAATTTAATTTAAAAAAATTTAATTACTTCCGAATTAATAAAAAAATTGTACTGACAATTCATGTGATCTTTAAACCGAATTCAAAATATAGTACGTTTCTTTAAAAATAATTGAACCTCTCAAATATTATTGGAAAAGAATTTTTCTATCGTGTATGGTCATATTTAGTCACCGAAATTATTTAAACGTATTTTGTCACTTTATGTCATCGTTACTAGTATATTGTTTTCTCATTCGACATATTTGACATATTCACAGAAAAAAAGATCATGATGAGGCTTATGTTTATTTTATGATTAGCACTATTTCAATGAAATTTTTTATTGTTTTTAGAATAGGAATCGGTATCGTTTTCTGATGTTTTTCGATGATGATGATGATGACGAAGTGGATATCAATTACCGAGTTCGTAATTATCATCCGCGAATAAATTTCAATCTACCAACACCGAAATTGTTTCGTGAGAGTTTTCGAGTTGATCGACAGGTCGTCGAATGCATAGAAAGGCACATTGGACAATTTATTCAAAGGGAAACACATCGAAGCCATGCGTTATCCGTTCGAGAACAAATTTTAATTGCACTCCATTTCTTGGGCAACGGTTCGGTATATCATTTAAATGGTTATTCTATTGGTGTGACAAAGTCAACTGTCTGCAAATGCGTACACCTCGTTTGCCGTCTAATAATGCATCACCTCATGCCACAATATGTACGCTGGCCAACGAACCCAAATGATATATCAGCCAGATTTGCACGAAAGGCAGGATTTCCGTTTGTAATGGGTTGTATCGATGGGACACTGATACGTATTAATAGTCCAAGTGGCCTTGATGAAGCCGTATATGTGAGCCGTGATAACAAACACTCTATAAATTTACTTTTGGTATCTGGGCCAAGCCATGAATTCTTCTTTGCTTCGGCTAGAAGTCCAGGAAGTTTTCACGATGCCCGAGCACTTCGAATCTCATCACTATGGCAAAATTGGGAGATGAATGGATGGCGACCTGGGAACGATAATCGATCAATTATTTTAGGAGACTCGGCGTATCCTTCTACGAGTTGGTTGATGACTCCGACGATACGAGAACCAAACAGGAATATCCCTCACTTACAAAATGCAATTGAAGATTATTTAAGCAAGCATCGCAAAACTCGTTTTATGGTCGAACGTGCAATTGGGATTTTAAAACAACAGTTTTATTGTCTTCGCTATGGATTTCGTTTTGTAACACCACAGAGAGTCAGTACTGCTATATATGCATGCATAACATTGCATAACATGCAGAATTTTTTCAAGCATGGATCGTACGATTATGATGAAGAGCTATTTCGTATTGCGAATGGCGAACCCAATGAGGCAGTTGATGATGGAAACCCAAACCAACACGATGTGGCTGGAAACGTTGTAGCCATTGAACGACAACGACAATTGCTCGAATATTTTGCAATAAATTGAGCATTACATGCCCATTATCACTTGAGTCCGAATTAATTTTCCAACATAACGATTTTTTTCCATTCGGTTTTTTGGTCATACTATGTCATTATGACTCTCTTTTTGTACCCGACCATTTTTGTTATGTGTCTTTCACTAGGGGCTTCCATGTATATTCCATCCAAGAAATATACACCATAGATGACAGTCATACGAAATATTCACAATACTGGCAAAATATGCACCATATTCACGGAATATACACGATATTCATGAAATATACACCTCATATTCACGATCGGTAACAAAGATTCGACATTGCCGTAAACACATATTTTTTACATGCTGTGTATATTCTGTGAATATGGTGAATAATATACACGGATTATATGCAATATTCACGAAATATTCACACAAATACGAATGTATATTTTGACTTAAAAGCCCCTAGGTCTTTCATATTTCAATTCCTCAAACAGTCATTGAGCCATTTCTTTTCGTCAAGTGTGAACATTATCGAATCACTGCTATTTTTTAAAATAAAAAAAAAATAAAATGTCGGACAAATCGAAAATCAACTACACGGAAGAACAAAAGGTAATTATAATTAAAATATTTGAATAAAATAAACTTCTCTTACTAAAATTTCAATGCTTCTAGAAAATCATTTTAGAATATTGTCTAAAATATTCTAGCCGTCTCTACGAAAAATACACGAGTCGAGTCGATCGAAAAAGCCAAGGCAAGGCTTGGGATGATTTGATAAAAGAGATTGAGACTGTGGAAAAAATTCCAATTGAAAATGTTACAAAATTCAAGCAAAATGTAACGAATTGGGTTCGTCGTGCTACTGTAAGTATAGTCATCACCAATAATATCTATGATGTCAAACTCTTTTGACATATTACTGGACGCACTCCTAAGTATATGGAGACGGTTTATATATTTAAAAAAAACAGATGTCGCTACCCTATGAAAGAATATTAAGCAATGATTTTGGATTTAAAAATCATTTCTTGTTGTTGTTGTTGTTGTTGTTGTTGTTGTTGTTGTTATCATAAGTTTTCACTTTTACCGACATCTCGATTGACTCGGCAGATTTTTATTATATGATGATTTTCAATAAACAATCAATATCTTTACTTTCGCAAATGGTGTCCAAGTTATTGTGTTTAACTGCCCGATTTAAATTGGTCGGCATACTGTTTCTAATGAAAAAAAATATGCCTTTTGACATTTCGACACTGTTTTTTTTGTTTGTTCATCCGATATCTCTCTTTCTTCTGCCTTTTCAGTGCGGAAAGCATCAGGATTAATTTTGAATATTCTACGACCAAAATATTTAGATCATAAAGTATAAATTAATTGCCAAAATTTCCTATCGCGGTGGAGTGAAAGAAGTTGGTTAGTGCCCATAAGTTGACGGTGTACTTGGAAATTGAACAAAGTCTGGATGGGAAGAAATTCGACTATGATATGGTCGAAATCCTGCGCACACAAACCGAAGCCATCACCAATCCGTTCTTCCGACAGTCACGTCTTATTGATACTGTAGCCGCACCGGATCGATGTGTATTCATGTGAGCTCCAATAGCAAGGAATCACTCAACATATCGCTCATAATCTTAGTATTTTGAAGAAAAAATAGCAGCGCATCAAAATTGAATATGAACATACAGTAAAGTAGCTGCAGTTGAGCATTTAAACAACAGACGAAAAAAACACGTGAATAATCTTCGAAAATGTATTTTCGTTTTCTTCCTTATCTTATAAGAAGAATCTATGTTTATTCAAATCCGTATTAAGCCTAGTTTACACGGCGGAAAATCGCGTTTACACGCTGAGTTTCCCGCCGGGATTTCGCATGTTCCATTTAAAAAGCACAGGTAAAATTTTCCGGCGGAAAATTTTTTTTCCGACGGAAAAAAAAATTTCCGCCGGAAAATTTTATTCACCACGTGTAAACCCTCCCACGGATTTTTTCCGGTAACGACATTTTTGCTGAATTCTTTATCGTTCGAGAATATTCTTTCAACATATTTTTTCCGACGGGATTTCTCTCTCAATCGAATTGAACTGTCACTTAGCCGCGTACACTTTCGACAGTTCTCAAACCGCGTGCTTTGCCACAGTTGTGAAATTCATTTTGTGCAACAAGTTGTTGTTCAAGTTCAATTCGAAAAACCAATCGGTATAAGTGTGATCATGGATAATATGGATCTTCCACAAAGTATTTTGAATCTGAACATAGAAATCGATGAAACGGCCTCATTAAATGCGCTTAATTCACCTACCAATGAAGAATATTTAATGGATGATTTTGGTGACTCCACGCAAGA